TACTTGTTCTACACCTATACGAGTTTGAGAATGTTTGACATTATAATATGTTTGTATTGCTGTTAATCTTCCATTATCATGATATGGTGTAAGTAACCAATTTTAACAAGAATAACCTGCATCACCTAAAATATATGTATTTGTAGGAATAACTGAAGAACTAGAAGAACTAAATTTATGATATAATGGTGAATTATGAAATATTCTACTATTATGAGTTGAGTCAGGATATTCCACAAAAATATCAATAAACTTTTCAGAAGAATTGATAACTACTTGTAAAACAATAGAATAAAAACCTTTTCTATTATAATAATCCATAGGATATTGTTTAGGTGCTTTAATTGAAATATGACTTCCATCAATTACTCTTATTGCATATGGAATACCAGCTTTTCTTTTAAATTTTCTTGCAATTTTACTGAATTCAACATGATTATTAGAAAATCTATTAAATTTAAAAGAATATTAAAATATTTTAATTATCAGAATAATAAATTTAATTAACTATTTTCTTATCGAATTTTTGATGAAAAAAAGTGACATTTAATTGTATATAAAACAGATCTAATAATATAGCATATACCTTATTCCTCTGAAAATAGACACTCCCCGAAAATAAGCACTATCTTATTTTTTTAGTATCCAAAAATAAGCACTATCATATTTTAGCATCCAAAAATAAAATAAATGCTAAAACAAACCCGATTTATTAAAAATTTTATAAAATTCAATGTCTTTTTTTTTAAAAGAATCATTGCCATCAATATTTCTTTCATCATTATTAATGATCGCTATCACTATCACTGCTACTATTATCATCGCTGTTACCATTATCGTTCACAACTAACACACCTGAAATTACCACTAAATTATATTTACTTTTATTTTAACGGATTCTTTTATATGATCCCTAAAATGAAACGTGTTATAAATATAAACCATTTATCATTTTGCATAGCTTCTGAGATTGAAAATTTAGCAATTTTATTAGTACCCGAAATTAAGCATCTCTATAGCAAAAAAAAAGGTGCTTAATTTTAGAGGCATACGGTAGTTGATTCTCCTAATACAAATAATTGTCTGAGTGTTCTATAACTTTGACCAGTAGCTAAAAACCATAAAGTTAATGAAACTTTATGTTTAATTGGAATTCTTGGGGCGCCTCTTTGATTATTTCTTTGTAATAATAAAGGTGCTATTTCAGTACATAACCATTCAAATGTAGTTTTTGTTATTCTAAAATGCCACTTATATTCTACATTTTCCCAATTATTACATATGTTATTAAATCAACAAATACTACGTGTCCTTCTTGCTCGCCTGTAACCTGTTCTTAAAGAACTATTTCTTTCAATAACACTTATACATGCATGAAAAATTGATAAATCAATGTTATCATTGGATGTTTCTTCAGAAGAAGAGTCATTTTGGTTTAAAAAAATTAGATATACAAGTGAAAGAATTATAATATGTCTTTGAATATTCATTGTTCAAATTTTTATTTAATTTAAATAACGTTAACTCTTTTTTTATAATGTTATACAAAAATTCATAATCTGATCCATTTATTTGTGAACACGGATTAGATTATATGAAAATCCAATCTAATCTAAATGGATTAGAAAATCCAATCCAATCTAATTGAATTTGTGAATACACCCAATGCGTCTTACAATTTACGCGATACGGCATTTATATAGATTGATCGTCCAAACCGGTCTAAATACCGGTTCGACTCGGTTCAGTTTCAGTTTGATCCTCAAATCGAACCGAAACCGGTTCTATGATCAAACCAGAGTCAGACCGGTCTGGCCACATCCCTACTGGTGACTTGTGACTTGTGACTTGTCTCCGAAATCGCTTTAATACATAAATTTATAAATATATATGTGAGTCTGTTTCCTGTAGTTTTCGCGTTTTTTGTTTACGTAAAAACTTTTAAACCATGGTCCAAACTAGATCGAAACGATCGAAGCAAGAAGTTTTCGAAGAAATAATGCCCTTGCCACAATACGCCGAGGATTACTTCAACAGAGTGGATCCTTTTGAATGGAAACTGTCACATTTTTTACGTTATACGGAAAAATCACGATCAAATAGCTTGTCAAGGGATCAAATATTACGTGCTTTCAAAACAGGATTGAAAGATGTGGTGGAAAAAATGTCCGGTAATGGGAACAGACCTATAGTTTTAGATCCAGAGTCGCGTTGGGAGATGCTGACATGAAAAAGCCTCGAAACTTGGCTGGTGCGAAATTATTTATTGCCAACAAGCTCTTAGAAAAGAAAAGAACTAAGGTAAACTTGATTTGAAAGTAAAGAAACTTCACGTGGTGTGGAGGGTCTCCAGCCACCTACGCAGAAACAGATGTTTGTTCTCGTGTGGGTGGTCCGAGCCACCAGCTGTCTAAGACAAGGAAGCACGCATCCGTCGCTATAGCGACGTGGTACTTCTGCTGGCAGGAGAGTGTGCATGTCCACTCTTTTTGTCCTATACCGCATACCAATATTATTTCGTACTTTATATATATACTTTCTATTTGTATTCAACACATGAATAATCATACGTTCTTTTTTTCCAAGCGCGAGTCTGATGAGATTGAAACTTATTGGCAAACTGTACGAGCAAAGACAGCAATCAATATCGCAAAAAGCCATCACAAACTTCAGAAGGTTTCCCAAATAACTGTAAACCTCCTATGTGGAGAGGAGTTGCCCAGAAAGGTATATTATTATTTCCTTACGAATTGTTTCCCATCAAAATTAGCAATCCTTTTGACTTGATTATATTTATCCAGCGAGTGAGACTAGATGATGAGGTGTTCTCGAGTAGTGATGATCATGAAGACTATGAGGGTGATGATATAATCAATTCACAGACAGTATATAAGGCCGAGGTTTGTTGATGAGCTATGATTTCAGACTTGATCAATAACAAAATCCAAACTGATTATTCAGTGCAATACTAATAGGAGCAGGAGGCCGAAAATTCCTCTGGCAACGAATCTGAAAATGGGGATGATTACCAGAATGACGAGGCATCCAAGGATTGCTTAAGAAAGGTACCGTAATTGTTTATTGGAACTACCAAATAAATAATTCTCACTATTATTGAAATAGGATGGATAATGAGGATGATGAACTGGAGGTGCATGCTAAAGAGACCATTCGGAACGATGGAGAAAAATGGATCATATGTGGCACCGATGTACGTGACGCATTATCAAAATGGAAAAAAAAACCAGACCGCGCACTGAGTAAGTATTTCTGTAAAATGTTTTAATATGAAGTAAGTTTGAACATACCTGGCGTATTAATATTGAAAAATTTTAGTTTAGCATTTTATGACATCGTAGATGTTACGCCAGGGTCGAATAGTGATTTTATACGATCACTTCCTAAAGATGTAGTGCATGAGATAAGACAGTCAAAGTTATTGCCGGCACCTGTTATCGATAATGCGGACGGAATGAAACAATATATTATTGATTTTATTAAGGTACTACCAAATATCCTGTTGTTTTGTTCCAAGATCTCTTAATTAATTTCTTACAATATTAGACGAAAAAATTTCGTGAATATGTCGATGAAAGTTATGTGAAAACACGAAAGAACAATGTTATAAAATTCATATGGGACTATTTGAACCTCCTGTAAGAACCTTTTAATGAATGCGTCTCTCCAACTTATGTCTTACTTACATTCAAGTTTTTTTTTCTTTAGTGTGGAATCATTTGAAAGAGATAATGATCTCGCCGACTATAATTTATCTGAGCTAGGATATCGGGAAATCTTCCTCACACCTCTAATGCGCAGTCTCTTCCGTGGAAAGCATCGGGAAATGAGTATTTTTTTGTGGGTATATGAATAACATGATACAATCTTTGATCTTATTTTATACCCATTTTTTTTAATGAGTTGTAATGTATGTTTATTTAGCGGTGAAAAATGTCTTTTCGCTTCATTGGAAGATCGAAATCGGGAAAAAACCGATGAGGAAGATCGTAATGCTGGTCGAAAAATAGACATCATCTGGTCTATGAAACCAACCGACTTTGAATTTTCTATATGTGAAGTTAGTGGGCCACCAAACCAGCATAATCATACGCACTTTTTTAATGATAAACTTAAGATTGCCAAAATGTTGAAGGTTATCTTGAATAGGATCGTAATAAAATATGGTGGTGCGGGCATGAATTTGAGTTCATTAAAATTGTATGGCTTACATGTTTATTGTAAGTAATTCCAATTTCGAAATTATTTCATACTTTATGAGACTAACATTCTCTAAATTTTTACAGATAATGAAATAATGGTATATGAAATGTCAATACCATTTCGTGGATTATACGTTTTTTGTGAAGTATTACGATCAAAACTCCCAACAAATGATGTTGAAGTGGGGTTAATGTCACGATCAGTACCAGTATTGCTCGAATTCAAGGTTTGCTTTCATTATAGATCAACTACATTCCATTAGTTTCTCACACTTACTTTACGAAATATTTATTATATAAATACCAGAAGTTACTTGAGAGGAGTTTAACTGGTCTTAAAGATTATATTCAAGATGCATGTACTCGTACACCGGATGACAATGGAAACGCAGACCTATTTATTACAAGTACTGATTTAACGCCCACAACAAATAGAAAACAACCGAATGGACGGGTAGCTAAAAAAAAAAGAAATAATGACCCCCGAGATTATTAATCACAATTTACTCCGTCACCTCCACTTTCATGACAAGAAACGAAGGTTAAGTGATTTGCAAAAAAGAAAATATTATTTTTATACCGTACCACGTTACTTTATACTGCTTTTGTGCATTTAATATAATAATAAAGTTTTACTCATATCAGTTTTAATAATGTATGCATGGTATGGGGTGTGGTGCATTGGAAAAATTTCAAGTGATGGATAAATGCGCAGTACTATGAACAAACTTGCAAACTTGCGCATAAGATTACATCTCTTATTACAAACAATACAGCAAAGGCATTAGCGCAATTTCCTACAATAGAGTATCGCCCAAATGGGCTTGTATTTTTTAATGTGGGTGCTACTGATCGGTTAAGTTACCAATACTGTAAATGTTCAAATTCGCTGACTACTGCCCCCCATAAATTGATCGCTGATATCATTCCTCTTTTAGACGAAATAATAAAAAATTCTTGCCGAAGAATAGGGCTGTGTGACGCACACATTTTTTTCTGCGCAATTTTGACGAGCTTGGACACCGTGTCCATCAAAAAATAAGGTAGTCATATGTTTCGGGAAATAAATTTAACCTGACACTGATCCAGCTTCTGCGCAATTTTGCCGAGCTCGTGTCCTGACTCTTCTACCGGAAAAATAGACAGCCTACCTGCCTGAAATACGCCGGTAAAATTCTTGCCGAAGAATAGAGGCTGTGCGACGTGCGAATCGCATATATATATTCTCATTTTTTTTCACCTTGATTTGTATTTACGTTATTATCATATTAATAAAGCAATATTCGGGTATGGATTTTTTTTCCGGCAACCATTATTTCGCATATGAGATTGGGGACATCTATGCTAATTATGAAGTCATTTTTATCGATTTGCAGGGGGATTAACGGAATGATGAAATGCAGTGCGTAATGGCTGGGGAAATGTTTTCTCCTGCGAAAATTATAAGTGATATAAAAGTGGCTGTATGAATCATGTTGGCAAGAAGTATTGGCAAAAGCTAGTAGTATATCCATCATGTCGGGTTCAGAGCAAAGTAGTGTGTCATCATCCTTTCTTACCAATCTTAGAATCCTTGGATATAAAATACTCAAAAGTCTCGGAGAGAAAGATGTCAGAGATATTGACGTTCCAGAACTAGGGCCATGCTCCAAATGTAATGAGGAAATTTTTCATTTCCCATTATAGGATTCACCACGCTCGCCTGTGGCCATACTTACCATAGACTTTGTATAGAAAAAAAGCTTCCGAACTCCTGCCCATTCCCTGGTTGTGGAAAGAACGTTGACACTATAGAAGCTAGGAGGGATTCGCAATCATCCCAATCGAGCGGTGTTTCGGCTATATCAACCCTGATGGGCGAAAAGTTTACAATAACTTCGTCAACAATACACGAAGATGCTATGAAAGATGTCAAGGTTGCCGTGTATCAATAAACTGAAAGTGAACGAAGCAGTTTAACGTGTGCAAAATGTTCTGAAGATATTACTCAAGTCTTTTCCCAAGCACCCTCAAAACCGCTCGTATTTTTGCCCTGTAAGCATGCTGTGCATTATGATTGCATCGATAACCCACAAAAGCTATGTCCTATTTGCCAATCATCTGAAGGAACTGAGGCTCGGAGAAACATTCTAGCGAGTTTGCTTCTGAAAAAGATTCAAATAAAAAGCAAAGCAGACCAGGAAGCAGATTGATAGAAATGATTCCCTTACATTGAAAAAACTAATTATGGAGTTGACTTCTCCGGAGTCCCTAGAAGATGGTCTCTCTTGAGACTTCCTCATCACTTTGCAGTCGAGTGTCTCTGAGATGGACATAAACTCGCTTGATTTTCTTGATTTATATAATAAGATTGGTACTGCTGAAAACAATCTTCGAAGAACTACTTATGATTTGCTTCAATGCTATTATAATTTTGGCCAAGCCATTAAGCAGTTATTCAATCATTTTAGGAAAACTTGTAATGAGGATGTATCTAATGCTAAAGTTAATAATATAATCATGAATCAGATTTCTGTGTAAGATAAACTTACCGAGACTAACCTTCGAAAAAGAAAGGAAAGAAGTAAAAAGGTTTTCAGGCTCTTTAGTAATGTTGGTAATATAGAAGTAATAGAACAGTTAAAATCTTTTAATGCTACTACAATCTTAAATCTATCCCCAGATGATATCGATTTTCTTATTGCTAGATTAAACGAATAAATAATGCCTACTGCTATATGTATTTTGTGTAACTTTTAATAACTAGGTTAACAGGCTCTGTTAATGTCCGGAGCGGGAACAGCGGGGATCACGATTTTTCGGTAAATTCCATCCAATGACCAGTGTTTAAAATTAGTTGCACAAGCGCAAATATTTGTTTAAATATGCAAATACAATAAAAAAACATACACCTATTGAATATATCTGCATTAAAGATTTCGAATAAAACTTGCATAATAATTGGTGTGTATGTCATAATTTTAGAGACATTTACATACGTGCAGGAATTTTTTTTTATTTGAATTTTATGATATTATCCTGAAAAGTTCGGCCCACATTATGATAATTCTGCCTAAGATTTTCGGGGAAACGGGTTTCAGAAAAAATGTACTGTAGTATTTCATAGCACTTTTGTTATTCATGATAATTTATGTATTTAAATAAAATTTAATTTAAAAAAAACAATATATTAATTAAAATTAGTTTTTTTTTGTTATACATTTTTATATATGCTATCGTTAAAATGATCCAAATGAAAGTGCAGAAAATTCAATTAATGATTTAAACAAAAAGGATCCTTGTTTTCTCAATTGATGAGATGATAAACGTCCAGAAGATAATGTTTTAAATAAAGAGATTTGCGACAATATTTGTGATATACAATTTAAATTTATCTCCATCATTAAGTATTTGGTATAGTAGTTGAACTCGTCTTAAATCATTTGAATTAAGTACATAATATTAACTATTTGATAATACATATATTATAATCAAACATATAAGCCTTAATCTAGAATTGGTAAGAAATGCTATTTTTAAAGAGAAATATGAATTTATTAGATACAATATTCCTAAAAGTCAAATAATAAATTAGAATTATTACTTTCCTTATTATTAACTTGAATAAATCTAAATAAAATCATTTGAATTATATAATTCAAGTACTATATATATAATTTGAGTATTTTACGAGTATAGCTCGTGAATTACGAGTTAACGCGAATTGCGACCCTCTATAAATTGCGAAAAATTGTATAACGCATGTATAAAACATGTAAAGTATATCTGATTTTCAGGATAAGCGTGGCAAAAGATAGTCTACAAAATTTTCTGAATTAAATAAATCGTTAATTTTTTTTTGAATAAAAGATTAATAATGATGAGTTATTCAAATAATACAATGAGTGCAATGCTTAGAAAACGTAAAGTAGAGAGAATGAGACTTCTGATAAACGTGAAAACTGCCGTACTCGTGATCGTGAAAATAAAATTAAAAAAAAGGCATCAGAAACTGCAGAACAACGTAGAACACGCTTGAATAGAGAAAATGAATGAAAGCATCAAAAGAGATTATGTAAAAAACGTACTTTAGAAATTGCTGATGAACGTCTTAATCGTCAAGAACAAGAAAAGGTTATGCAAAGGTTTGTATTTATCAATCCCTTTATTCCTATTAAATAAAATTGATTTGAATAAATTGATTTAAAAAAGAAATGATAATAGAAACCCTTCAGATCCAATTAGAACTGGATTGCTTTCCGAATTTGATCATGAGCTTTTACAGAAATTCTGAACCAAAATAAGTAAATTTGAGCAAACCCTTTATCCTACATGTAATGAGCGTTTTCCATCAATTAAACTGGTTAAAGGAGAATACCGTCATTGCTATTGTAAAAAAACTATTCCAAAAAAATTTTCTGTAGAAAATAATATGGATCCGGGAGAGATACCTGAGGAATTGCAAAATCTTACTGAGATTGAAAAAATGTTAATTGCACAAATATTTCCTGTAATTTCAGTGTATTGTCTTCACGGAGGACAGTATACATACAGAGGAAATATTATAAACTTTCCTCAGGATGTGTACGAGTTTGTAATATAACTTCCTCGTCATCTGTTATCCTTAGATGTACTTATTGTACGTCGTCAGTTCACCAGTGCATTTAGAGATTTTAATGTTCATCGTGTGAAAGTTGCCTGAGCACTTCTCTGGTTAAAAGAGAACAATCGTTATTATGCTAACATTAATGTTGACAATGAAGTGCTGCAATCCTTACCTGACGATGGTCCTATTGACGACTGTCTTCCACGACTTCAAAGAACAGAAGATAAAGAATTAAGTGATGATGAAAATGAAACAGAAGATATAATCACACGTAACTTTGTTCCTGCTTCTTTTCCAATTCATCGTGAGGATAAAGCAATCAACAATACTCTTACTCAAATGCAAGGTGAAACTATTCCTATTGCATGGCCAAATATTGATGCAAATCCCATTAATGAATTTCATACTTCCGGATATATTACACGTGCTTTTCCAGCTTTATATCCAACTGGAAAAGCCGACCTTCATGCAGAACGTATAAGAGATGTCAAGCTTGCTGAATATTTTCAACATATGCTTAAATATAAAGATAACAGGTTTGCACGCCATACTCGCTGGCGATATTTTGCATTGAACTCACAAATGCGATGGAGGGCAATACAGGAAGCAAGAGTCTACGTTAAGCAAAGTTTGAATGACAATCAGCTTATTATTAAAGAAGTTCAAGAGATGGTTAAAGGTAATAATCATTTAACTGAATAAGTTGTACGATTTGGTGAAGGTCTGCGTGAAACGTGATAGTTTTGGATTAAAAGACGAGTTGAATTGTCAGATATGATCAAACAATTAGGATCACAGGAGATGGTATTTTTTACATTCAGTGCCACAGATTTACATTGGCCAGAACTCCATAAACTTATGCCACATGGTGAAAATCAAATAGAAGGAGAATCGGAGCAAGATGCAGCTAAACGTAGACGCCAAAATCTGATTGATAATCCTTACATCGCCGCATGGTTCTTTGAGAATCGCTTTAAATCTTTTTTGGAAGATGTGCTAATTCCTAAATGGAATCTAGAAGATTGGTGATATAGGTTTGAGTGGCAGTATTGCGTTAGTGTTCACATACACGGTATCGAAATGCGTAAAGATGCACTAGTGATCGATTGGGAAAAAATAAAAGAAGATAATGAAATGATGATTAGAGTAGTGGAATATTTAAATTCCTTAATTATGACAATTAATCCAGAAGTTGATGCACCCGTACCTGATCGGCATCCCTGTCAGACAAATTACATAATGACCTACAGGATTATATTGAGTTGGTAAATAAATTGCAGCGTCATACGAGATGTAGTCCTTCATACTGCCTTCATACCAATCGTGAGGATCAACAATCTTGTAGATTTGGATATCCAAAAGACATTGTAGAACAAACCTGCATACGTGATGATGATCGTGGTCATCCAGTACTCATTACAGCAAGAAATAATCCTTATATAAATTCGCATGATCAACTTCAACTTCAAGGTTGGTGTACAAATGTTGATTTGAAACTGGTTCTTAGCATTCATGCTGCTCTTCAATACATCTCTAAATATGCAAATAAATCAGAACCACAATCTGTAGCTTTCAATGAGATATTGGACCGCATACTTTGTAACAGCAATCCTGATGATCTATCACTTAGCTCATTTCAGAAATTACTGCTTTATACTGTTTCAGAATGTGATATATCTGCACAAGAAACTTGCCACCTACTTCTTGGAATCCCACTCTATCATTTTAGCCGTCAGTTTGTTTCACTAAACCTTATCAAAGATGTACTGCGATGGTTTTGTGATACTGGAAATGAAAATGAATTTGCAACAACTGAAGAAATTAGACAAACGGAAAAATCACCCTTACAGAAATATTGGAATCGACCTACTGAACTTGAAAACATTTCATTATTTCAACTATATTTAAAATACAAGTTTTCAAATGGTCATTGGAAACAATGTAAATATGAAAATATTGTGCGCATATGGCCACGACCGTCACCTCAGAAAAATGGCCCTCAATGGAAAGAGTTTTGTCGTGTGAAAGTTTTACTTCATGTTTGTCACCGAAGTCTCCAGCAGTTAACTATAAATGATACAGTCTCTTGGTCAGACCTCTTTGACTATCATATTACGGAAATTAAAAATGATTACCCCGATTTGATCAGTCTCCCTGTGGATATTGTAGAAGATGAAATTATTGATGAGGAAGATGAGGAAGATGAGCAGGAAGATGATAAGTATGAGTATGAAATCTGATCTAATTGGATGTACTTAGCGGAAATGAGACCAAATACAATTATTGATAATTGTTCAGATTTAGGTTTACGTGAAATTGATTTGAATCATGACTGGGTTGGTAGTGTCAGACAGCGACATCCAAATCTCAATCTTACAGATGTGACGACTTTTCTGCAGCAAGCTCATAATAAAGATGCTATAGATGCTGGAAATCTAATTACTGATATAGTAAATTTTGAAACTTTAAATAAAAAACAGATATTAATATTTAAACGGGTTGAATCATATTATAATGCTATGATTGCAGATAACCAGATTAGCCCTCTTAGAATTATCATCATGGGAACGGTAGGAACAGGAAAATCATATTTAATCAATGTAATTCGAAGTCAACTCAATGAGATAGCAAGGGATAATAGGATTAACAAATCACCTGTACTTGTACTTACGCTAACTGGGGTTGCAGCGTTCAATATTCGTAGAATAACAATTCATTCGACACTCTCTATCCCTGTAAATAGCAAAAACTTTGAAATAGACGGTGAGCGATTGAAACAATTACAAAAAAAATTGCAAGATGTAGAATATTTTATCATTGATGAAAAAAGTATGATTGGACGTTGAATATTTGCCTTAATTGATATGAGATTACGGCAGGCTTTTCCTGAACAACAAGATCAACCTTTTGGTGGTTGATCTGTTATTTTGATTGGTGATTTTGGACAACTTCCACCAGTACTTGATGACCCAATATATACATAAGTCCTCTGACGTGATTCATTATCTAATGATGGTATTATAGGATACAAACAATTTCAGGAAATCTATAAACTTGACATTGTTCAACGTCAATCTGGAAACTCAGAAGAACAATACCATTTCAGAGATATTTTGTTACGCCTGCGTAATGGTGAATCCACAATAAATGATTAGAAAACACTTACTACGAGGCTTGTTGATTCACCTGGAGTAGAGAATAATCAATTTCTAGATACCACATGTATTATACCTCGAAAAATCAACGTTGATTAGGTTAATTTTAATATGCTAAAATCTCTAAACTGTCCTTTTGCCAAAATCTGTGCTGTACATACAGGTGGTTGCGAAGCAACTAAGGCTGATTTTAATACAGCAAAAGAACTTGAAGCTTACCTTCTATTAGCTAAAGGTGCATATATTATGCTTAGAGCCAATTTGTGAACAGAAGTAGGGTTAGTTAACGGATTAATGGGGATCATCCAAGGGATTTTGTTCGAAGAAGGCCAAAGACCACCTTCTCTTCTAATAGCAGTCCTTATTGAATTCAACGACTATACTGGTCCTACTATTATAACTATAGAAGGCAATAGACTTATTCCCATATTACCTATTCGACAAACCTGAGAATCAAAAAATGTAGTTTGTTCACATTTACAAATTCCAATTAGTCTTGCTTGGGCTATTACAGTACATAAGAGCCAAGGACTAACACTACCAAAGGCCATCATAGATCTTGGAGAAAGAGAATACGCCGCAGACCTTTCATTTGTAGCGGTGTCTCGAATTCGTGCTTTTAAAGATCTTCTATTCTGGCCGTTTTCTTTTGAAAGACTTCAGCGTATAAAAAATTCTAAAAGGATGCAAGATAGGAAGGCTGAAGAGAAGCAATTAGTTTCTCTGATAAAATAAAACTACGCTCTGGACAATAAATGGGATTAATAAACTACACTCTAGACAATAAAATGGGATTAATCAAACTACGCTCTGGAGAATAAAATTGAGTTTTTTTTTTAGATAAGATTCATTATTTTAGATAAAATTCATTATTGTAAGATTAACTTTTTTTTTTTTAGATAAGATTTATTACTGCGAGATTATCTAGTTTAAGTAATACTAAGATCACGTGGTAATATCACGTGACTGTGACAGATGGACATTTCTATCAAAGCTCATGTAGGTGCTAAAGTCACGTAATGATAAATAGCACATATCACGTGATAGTCACGTGACTGTGACAGACGGACATATCGATCAAAGTGTACCTGAAATGTAAAGTCCTTCGCTACGCTCCAGATAATAAAGTTTTTTTACAATCACATTAAGAGCAAGAATACAATATAGTTTAAGATTTAAAAAGACATGATGCTTATATATCATTTGGATAATTCCTTAAAAATTCTTAATATCGTAAATAATTAAAAGCAGAAATCGAATGAGTTAAAAAAAATGTTAATATTAATCTAGCTCAAACTCATATCAATGATAATAATAAATATACCACAGCAAAATACATAATTAGATACAAAATGAATCCCATTGAAGCAATTGTAGACTCAAAAGCTACTGCTTATATCATTTCTACCTCTCTTACAGACAAATTAAAATTAAAACCTCATAAAGCTTCTGATATTATGGTTATTACTGCAGATGGTCAGCGAAAAAGATCTTTAGAAATAATTACTAATACCCTATTAATTATTCAAAGCGCTCAATTCATGATCAATCTTCAATTAATTGAATCAACTCAAGATACTTTATTATTAAGAATTAATTAATTCAAAACTTTTGATACCAGAATGTTCTTTGATCAAGATAAAATTAGATTAAGAATTAATAACCAATTTGTTAAATCGCCTATAAAATACATAGAAGAATATTGACCTTTCTTTAGAATTTTATTTACCTCAATAGATGATGAAAATTCAGAAAAATATGAAGATGAATTTTTAAGAGAAACTAATCTTTATAGCATTGAATTAGAAAACGATATTCTTTCTGATTATGACTAAAAAACTGATTCAAATTACTCTATTGAACAAGATGAATTAAAATAAATTGAATGTTCTTATGATTTATATGATAATATCTTCAATATTTAAAAATTATACCTAACTGAGAAAGAAACATCTTTAAATTCTGAACAAAAGTATATTCTCTCATTATTACTTAAAGAAGTAATCTTTACTAGTGGAACTGATATTTGATAAACTTTATATATTAGTCATCAAATATCTTTACAATCTAATAATAAGGGATGAAACCAAGACATAAAATAATACTGTAAAAAATGAAGATTTCTGTTTTTTTTTTGAAAATATCTGGTAAATTTTTTCAAAATTGAATAATTTTCTAGATATATTAAAATGAAATTTTTACTAATTTTGCAAATTGATTATCAATTTTTATCGTCTATCAAAAAAAAAATATTTTTTCAATAATTTTTTAAAAAATGTCAATTTTACAATATTATTCTAAAACTTCTAATGAAAGGTATTTGCTCTATAAATGTGATATTGATTTATTAAAATATAATAAAAATTAACAATTTTATAATAAATATTTAGTTTAAAAAGCAGTTCAGATAAAGATAATTTTAATGATAACATTGCTAAACCTGCTGAACCTATAAATAAAACTAAACCTTTAATTCAAAAACCTATAGTATAGCATTATTAATCTTCTAAAAAACTAAAATTTAATCATAAAACTGGAGTTTTCAGCAAGAATAACTAAGAATTTATTTATGGTTGGTATATGATACAGTAGTTATAAAATGGGCTTTTTGGCACAAAAAGCCCAAATGACTTCAGAAGGTCATCCTGGGTATTACAAATTTTATATATCGAGTTTCACATATCAAATTTCTAATGAAATTTTACTTGAAAGCCTAAGATCACTAATTCGCTTTCTTGTCTAGCTTTCATTTTGAAATCGCTTGTTTTCAAGTAGTAAAAAAATTTTTCTACTTTGGCACATTCTTGTCTGAAATCTTTTTGGAATTCATATTGGGTAACAAAATTTTTTACATATATGAACGCTAAACATGAAAGCAAATAGTGTTCACACTCTGCGAAGCGAAGCGGAGCATGTATACAAGATATGAAAGCAAATAGTGTTCACACTCTGCAGAGCGAAGCGGAGCATGTACACAAGATATGAAAGCAAATAGTATCCACACTCTACAGAGCGAAGCAGAGCATGTACACAAGATATGAAAGCAAATAGTGTCCATACTCTGCGGAGCGAAGCGAAGCATGTACACAAGATATGAAGCAAATAGTGTTCACACTCTGCGGAGCGAAGCGGAGCATGTACACAAGATATGAAAGCAAATAGTGTTCACACTCTGCAGAGTGAAGCGGAGCATGTATACAAGATATGAAAGCAAATAGTGTTCACACTCTGCGGAGCGAAGCGGAGCATGTATATAAGATATGAAAGCAAATAGTATCCACACTCTGCGGAGCGAAGTGGAGCATGTATACAAGATATGAAAGCAAATAGTGTCCACACTCTGCGGAGCGAAGCGGAGCATGTACGCAAAACGAAAAAAATTATGTGATAAAAATGCATACATATTGGATTCCAAGAACATTCCTAGAACTTCCTCAGCACTAGCCCATCACTAGCCCGTCACTAGCCTAAATTTTTGCAAGCTTTTGACGCTGATAAAAATCTCGAATGCGATATTTACCTGCATGTTTCCTACAAGCACTATAAATAGAGAAAGTTAATTTTCCGCATTCTATACACGAAATTCGTCTAGGAGATTTCCAATAGACTTTATACCCTTCCGGACGATAGCACCCTCATTACACACTTCTCCAGTCCTAAAAATATATGGACATTTATAAAACCCCATTCCAATAGTCTTTTCTTTTTGAATAAATATGTAACTCTAATTATCTGAATAAATTAATTTTCATTTTAAACTTTTTGTAACCATATATACTCTTTGAGAAAAAATGAGCGGAATACTTGGTAGTATAACCAGTGCACTAGGGCAATTATTTGGAAATTTTTGGGGAGATCCGACGCCACCTGAGTTACCCAAACCTCCCGAACTAGAAGAAGAGGTGGACTCGAATGAGGACAGCGTCTATTCGACCGCTTTAACTTACCAAAATATTTAAAATGCAGAAACAAGATGGTATTCAGTAATTCGAAGATTCCTATTTTAGAGAAAGAAAGGTAAGGATGTTGAGTTCTATGATGGGAGTACACAATAGATTGGTTCTGAAAATGAGTTCTGAGATTTATCACGAGACTGGTTCTTAATCAAAGCCAATCCGAATGAAACACTTTAAGAAGTACATAAACGATATAATGAAGAATCCAGTGCAATTGCATAGCAGAGTAGAGGACAGATTGATTTACGAAAAACTGGTACATATGCTATGGCAAATTTTCGTTTCTTTCAAGATGTCTCTAGTGCTCCTAGAAAATCAGAAGACTTATCACAAAAAGAAGACCATTGGATAAGATCAGCATACACAGGAGCTTTAATATGAGCTGAGCCATATGAAGGAATTGCAACCGAATTGGACTTCAATGAATTTTATCCAGAGATTTTATCTAGTTATATGTCAGGCTGGCCCGTAAGAGCAGGTGAATTTAAAACAATCACACATATTAGGACTAATTCTATCAGGGATACCCTAAAGTATGGTATTTATCGAGTCTTCATAGAAGGACAATCAGCAGAAAAAAAATGTATAAGAGGATTTCGTTATAATCCTGCAGGATATTACACTCACTACGATTTATTATTAGCAATGGATCTAGGTCTCCACATAGAGTTATCCTCTGAAAGTCCTAATGCTCTAATATTTGAGCAAACTAAGCTCATGAGCGGGCATGATATTTTCAATCAATGGGTAAGTTATCTTACAGAGATTAAGAAAGAGGGTGGATAAGTGGGAAAAGTAGCCAAACATATGTTAGTATCACTCTGGAGACGATTATACTCAGATAGACGAAGACCAGATCCTCATCAGCGCATGGCACCTTTTATTTTAGCAAAGGGACGTAAAATTATATCAGAAAAAATTAGACCTCTAGGAGATCATGTAAAGTAAATCCATACAGATGGATATATTATCTCAGGTAAAGCTACTGAACAGCTAATAGAAAGATATGTAGGTAGGAATAGTGATCTAAAAATTACAAAATCAGGTGTTGTGTCAATAAAAAATGTAATAAATTTAAAATGGGTTGATTTTGATGAAATAGTTTCTCCATCTACGAAATCGGAAAAATCACTCATCTATTATTTACCTTTATCAATTGAGATTCTCAATAGAATTTTCTAACATTATAAAAAGGATAGGGATAAGAAAATGTATCCCCTTTTATTTGTTAATACAGTCCCCACCAAAAGTAATGGCGGTCAATTTTTATAACTTAAACCATGCGATTTATTAATAAACCCAATTAAAATTTTTTTAAAT